TTCCTTTCCCTCCTTTTTAATCCTGATCTTTAATCTTGATATATTATAACATTAAATTTTTACGTATTAAAAACCAATTTTTCCATATTCTTTTATACCATTACAGCTAGAAACCACTTAACTTCAATCCGTCATCATTCTAACATTCATTAATTTTACAGTATTTCTGTAAATAGTCTTTAAATTTCTTCCAATCTTCTTCCACCGACTCTTCTCCCTGGTCTCGGATTCTGCCGGTCATTTCCGCCCAAGCATTTGGTGTTAAGTGCTCTCTTGGGTTTCAAGAATATGTATGAAAATAAATATTTCCTAGAAATCAGTGTTCAGATACCTGGAGAAAGCAAAGATAATCTAGATGGATTACAGAAGCCAAATACACCATTATACAGTTACAGCTGTGTATCTTATGAAGAAAGGGCTATTTTTAATGCACTGGAAAGACCAAATCTGGAATAAAGTGTTCAGTACTGACTGCATCACAGGTCAAGAAAAGTATTGACAACCTCAGAGATGAGCTATAAAGATGAAAAAGGGGCCTAGGGATAACATTTTATAAAGAGCTATAAATGTTCAGCTCAGATCATGAATAAGCAACCAAGGACAATTCATTGCCCATGCATTGACTGTACCAGGGAATGAGGAACATGTGCCCTCCAGATGTTGCTGAACTACAGCACTCATGAGACCTAATGGCACTCATGGCCAACGGTCAAGGATGATGGAAGTTGTTGTCCAACAACATCTAAAGGGCCACAGGTTGTACATCCCTGGCCTTGCCTCTCTAACCTCATCATCTGAGGCCCTTCTTTGTGTGCCTCCTATGCAAGAGGTCTGGAGACATCAGGAAACTATTTGGACACTTAATCCTCTGGGATGGACCATGATAATAAGGTCCCCATACTTGCAGTGACTGCAAGCTATTGTGAGTATAAACTTGATAAGACAACAGTCTGCCTAGAAACACTGGATCGTATCCAGAATTGGCAAATCTTCAATCTAACCACTCTGATGCATGTAGGGGCTTTGATATGAAGAAGGAATTCTGTGTGAGTAGGGCCTACTATCCCATTCTTTCCAAAATCACTCTGTACACATGCTGCACAGAAAAGTGTGCATCTGCAGAGCACTCCTCAGTAATGAAGAGCTTCTGCTTGCATGGCGTCTGCATTACTGGAAACCCTGGGCAGGATTCAACAAATGAGTTCCACCAGTGGAAGCCACATGAGGACTTCTGCTAGAGCAGCAGGGCCTTTTCTCCCTTCTCTTTCTCCCCTGTACCCTATGTGAGTTGGTTTGGGAGGAGGGGGGTTAGGAGAACCTTAAGATAGGAACAACATGAGGGAGGAGAGGGCAAAAATGCTTGCACTCATGGACCAATCTGCTTAGCGTTATGTTGCATTCCACAGAAACACAGACTATAGCCTACATGAATGCCAGCACTTTCTGTTGGCTTGATTTCACTAGAAAGCCAAAGTAAATATTCGCTCAAGAACAGCAAGGGGTTCACCTAAATGGATAATTTGTTGTGATTTTCATTGGAGAGTTTTGCTAAATTAATGCCACAGCTGTGGAGGTGTTTCTGAAGACCAGCTGTTTGCTTAGTGGCCTCACTCAGCTAGATCTTACGATTTCCCACTGAGCTTCTGGTATTTCAAGTACTCACCCTCATCCTGTGCAGCATGGCTCCATTTACCAAAATGTGTAACAAGTTCAGCCTGGCAGACATTCCAGAGAGCAAGCATTTGTTACTTTCCTTCAGGCTGCAGGGAAAACTTTATTGCAAAGATCCTAATGGTGATATTTACCAACAGAATTATCTGTTCATCATTGGGGGGGGGGGGCAGCAATGTGGTTGATTTCCTCCTCATATCCTGCTCTCAAAGGAAATGAAAAAGATTACTGTGGCTAGGAAAGGATAGATATACAGTGCACAACAGTGACAGTCCAGGAAAGTGGAGAGACTGCCCATAACGTATGGCAGATGAGTATAGACAATTTTAACATCTGTTTGTCACTTGAGTGGAACCCCATCCAAACTGGTATCCTCAGAATACATTTATTACTTGTCCTTTTATTGACGGGCTGTGTTTTAATGTTACGAGGTGGAGGACTTTCCCCATACCATGCATAATCAGGTGTTTTTCCCCAGCCAGAGCTCATCGGAACTCAGTTCTGGCACCTCTCAGGTGGGCGCCATTGCCATTCTAAAAGGACAAGAGGGGCATTTATGGTGAGCTCCAGCACCTCTCTTTCTAGAAAAATAGCACTGCTGGTAAGGATGCCATATATTTTACAAACAGCTGTCTCCTTTTGTTGCAGGCTATATAAGGAATGGGGCACCTATATCCCTCTATGGTGGGTTTGTTGCCTAGTTGTGAAATTCTGGAAGCTGGTCCTATGAGAGATGACTAATTTGAGTATATATTTTATGATCCTGAGTGGTGTCTTTTTTCTATATTTCCTGAACAAAAAGCGAGTTTGTTGTTTTTATGTAGGTTGCTGCATGTTTGGCTATTACATGCACATAATCTGGTTTTAGAGGCATGGTACAAAGAGCTCTTAACTATAGTGCTATCAGAAAAAAATAAGACATCAGGATTCTGAAACTGTTTGATGCCCATTTATTAATCATACAGGAAGTGATTCACGCAAACATTGTATCCAGAGGCATCATTTATTTATATGTACAGTGGTACCTTGGGTTAAGTACTTAATTCATTCCGGAGGTCTGTTCTTAACCTGAAGTACTTTAGCTAATGGGGCCTCCTGCTGCCGCCGCACCGCCGGAGCACGATTTCTGTTCTCATCCTGAAGCAAAGTTCTTAACCTAAAGCGCTATTTCTGGGTTAGCAGAGTGTGTAACCTGAAGCGTATGTAACCTGAAGCATATGTAACCCGAGGTACCACTGTAATTACTTGTAACCCCTTTCCATTTGAAATATATTCTGCATCTTTCTATGGATTATGATTTATATATATATTATATTGGAACAGCTAAACTGAGCTAAATACAATGGTACCTCAGTTGTTGAACATGATCTGTTCCGGAAGACTGTTCGACTTCCGAAACGTTAGAGAACTGAGGCACAATGGGCGGTTGGCAAATTCAATTGAGAAAATTGAGAAACGCGCCTCGGAAGCCGTTCAACTTCCAAGGCACATTCGAAAATGGAAGCAATTACTTCCGGGTTTTCGTCATTCGAAAACCGAAACATTTGGCTTCCGAGATGCTCGAAAACCGAGGTTCCACTGTATATAGATTCACTTTGATGTTATAAGACCATGTACTTGTAGTCTCTTAGCATATTTCTTTTTTTTACATTTGCTACAGAAGGTAATGGAATAAGGATTATGTACTTAAATTTTTGTTATATGTGTTATTGGAATTCTTTGAAAAATGAAACCAGCCAATCAGTTGACATCACTCCGATGGTGTATGTGTGCTGGATGTCAGCTGTTAGCCCGAACTGCTCACATGTCAGAATTGGACCTCCATGGGTGGAATCTGGCCCACCAGCCAGAAAAGTTTCCCCATCCCTGGAGTACAGCCTTCCTAGCTTTCTGTAAATACAGGAAAACCATGGAATTGCAGGCGTCCAGGGAGGCTACACAATGCAGAGCACTGGAGAGATAATTTGAAGAATGAAAGAAATGACCCTTACTAATATGTCTTGCCCCCTTAGAAGACAAGCACAGAAAAAAAAAACACCAAATCAAAACCCATATCCCACAAGATTTTTTTGCTCCCGTTGGAAAACTTTTATCATTAATTGTTGGAAAGGAAAAAAGAGGCTTTCTTTTCTTTTTTTAAAAAGCAGCCACTAGTAAAAACTTTACCTAGCAACTCATCTAGTCTACATCATAGCTGTCAACTTTCCCCTTTTTTAAAGGGAAATTCCCTTATTCCGAATAGGATTCCTCGCAAGAAAAGGGAAAAGTTGACAGCTATGGCCTACATGTATTTGGGTCAATCAAAATACATTTTTATAGGTTACTGCATGTGAACCAAGATTAATCCACCAATCTTATCAAAAGAAAATTACCGGTAGGTGAGAGGAAAGTAGTAGACAATATGTTGCCCAATGGGGATTTGTCTAGCAAAAACCTAGTCAACCAAACTAGCTTGTGTGGGTTTTTGATTAGCCTTAATCATTCATTTCCTGCATAGGAAAGAGGCATAATAGCTATGAGGATGAAAGGAAAGAAACTTACAAATTGTCAGCTGGCGCTCTCTGACATGCAGGAAGCCAAGTACATGAAAGGCTTGCCTTCTTACATCTATTAGCGCATTTATTTCACACATTTCTATACCAAGTCAGTCTACAATTGCTTATAAAGTGCACCAGAAAAGCAATAACCAATCAGTTGTTGACAATAAAAGGCAGTGCTAAAGACAATCACAACTTAAGTAATAAAAAAACCTAAAATGGAAACAGGAGAGGAAATTGCTGGTGTTTGCTTATGCAGTCCATGTCTGGAACGAAAATCAATCCAACAATTTATATTGAAAGTTGTCGTTGCTTTCAGTCTGCAAATATTGCAGAGGTCTGCTTACCCCCTTTTGGGGTGCGGCAGCATTGCGGGATGGGCAGCACCTCCCCTCCCCACCCCCCCAACCCCAAACGAGGGAGAGCTGGATCCCTTGGGACTATCCTCAGCTGGGGTGAGAGCTTCAACTCACACACCCTGCTTGAGATCCGATTCTGCTAAATTGGTCAATGGCAGGCTGGTGCTGAGGGCAGGACCAATGAGGATTCAGTCTGCAAAGGATGCAGAATTGATTTGTAACTTGACACATTACCTAATTAAGCAACTGAATTATGTTAATTTCAATGTGTGAATTTTACTCAGGAGTAGACACACTGAAATCAATGGACCTATCTTAGTCATGATCCCGAATTTCAATGGGCCTGCTCTGAGAAACACTTTGTTGAGTATCAATCCTTGATGTTAGGCGATTCCACCCATTTGTTTCCATGCAAAGGAAACACAATGCAAAAAGAGATGTCAGAAAATTCCAGCAAAAATAGAAACGGGCAGATATTGCCAGTGTTCATTCTGGACAAGGGACAAATAAGTGAACACTGGCAATATCTGCCCCTGTTTCTATTTTTGCTGAATTTTCTGACATCTCTTTTTGCTCCCCAACCCTAGAGGACTCCCCCCCCCCCCCGCAACATGGGAGGTAATCAAGGCAGACTACAAAGCTTTTTCCATGACCTTGTCTGTTTTCTCAAATATTGCAATTCCTCTCCTTGGATGCTGTTCCCTGCCTACAAATCTTTACAACTTCACCCTCCCCAGGGCCACTGGAGATGGAGTTGGGGGTAAGAGGATTCCTCAATGCCCCACTGCCACCTCTCACCTAATAAGGACTACAAAGTTCTCATTCTCAAAAGGCCCTGCTGGGTCAAGGCAAGATTTTTGTGACCTACAAAAAAAAGGGGGGGGGAGGGCAGCAAGAAAGCAACATTGTGGAATTCCAGCTCAGTAAGAGTAGCTGGAGAAAGAGAGTTCAAATTTTCCTCCCATTTAAAAGAATTCAGCTTTATTGATTGATTGGCTTTGCTACATTTGTATTCTGTTCATCCAAACAAGTTCTCTGGGCAGTTTACATAAACAATGAAATAAAATATACAATAAAAGCAAAAGCCCAGCAAAAGAAACAAAAACAAAAAACAAAAAAACAACAACAACAAAAACCAACAACCACTGACTAAAATCAGCATAAAACACAGCAGTGGAAACAATTAAAACCAGGATAAGACTTATTGCCAAGGAGGCAATGGAAAGGACCTGGTAGATTGTAATTCAAAGGCCTGGGAGAATAAGAAGACCCTTAAAGGACTGCAGCGTAGCCAGCAGGAGAGCCTCTCTGGGGATGTTATTCCACAAGTGGGGTATTACCACTGAAAAGGCCCTCTCTGTATTCACCTGCCTCCGTTAATTAGGCAGGGACCTGGAGAAGAGCCTCCAGGCACTTGCTCACTTCAAAAGCCTGGCAGGATTTGGGGGCCTGACAGGTGACAACAGGGTTATTTTTTGAAAGAGCAGAACGGAGGGTGAAAACCCAGTAGAATAGCTGCAGACATTATAGTCAGCAGCTAGAGGAGAAGAGACTGTGATTTTATTAACCTGTCTGTCAATGGGAGTGTTCTAATTATCTCGTGGACTGCAGTTTTCAAATAACTTTGAAGTACTTTTCAATGAAGCCTATGGCAGCTAGAGTGATGACATTTCCCCCTCTATCCATGTTGAAAGCACAATTCTGAAATTTAGTAAAAATCCTTGTTGTGGACTGAAAAGAGCCTATGCTCTGGAACCTCACTGACAGCATTACGCCGACACTGCCACACCCACTTTCTTCCTTACACCTGATCCTGGTCTTTCTGTTTTGCATTGTTTTGTGGTCTCGAGCTGAATGGAAAGTGAAGCTAAATTCGAACAAGGCCTGAAACAATGTCAGGATTTAAAATAAAGCAGAAGCCTTACCCTGGTATGGCGTCTAGCATTTTGCTGAGCCTTTCCAAACAAATGTTCTCTTTTGTGTTCCTTCTGATGTTCTCTTTTGTGTTCCTTCTGATAAATGGAAAGCATCCAGGAAATCTCTCATTCATTAACCCAGTACCACAGAGGCAGTCCACTTTTGACATTTCAGCTGGAGAGTCACTGCATTTTGAAGACAGCTTTTGAACGTCATCGAAGCAAGATCCATTGGATGGAAAAATACTCTTGTGTTTGTTCTCTGTCCAAAGGTGATTTGGTTTTGGAAAATACAATACAAACTTCCAATTTTGGCCATATGTGTATATGCTGGGCATCTGGCAAATCTAAAAAGACACCCCCCCCCAACATAAAGCTACGAATCATTCTTCTTCCCCTGGACTTTTAAGAATTGCCATGAATGGTTTCAATGAGGGCTCATTATTTAATCATTTTTTCAGCACTGTGGTTGAAAATGTTCATCTGGGGTCAGTTTGGCGAATATGACTTGCATCCTGGATAATAGTTGGAAATGTATTTTGTTACAGAGCTTCTGGTGAAGAAACCAAAGTGTCTGAAGGGCGTTAAAGAGCAGCTTGAGGAATGCCACCATGGGATCCCAAAGCCATGCTGGTGGGGGCTGACAGGAGTTGTAGGCCACAGCATCTGGAAGCACTATGTTGGGGAAGGCTGGGATATGTGATTTAGAAAAGCACCAACATGACAGTGATGGGGGATTGAGGATAGGAGTGATAGTTCTGTGGTCAAGTCAGTTTATTGTGTTTTAGCAGACAACCATTATACACATGAAAATGATAACAAAAATAACAATATTTACATTTCTGCTCCTTAACCTTTAAAGGATAAATCAATTCCCATTGTTCTGTGGCATTATGGCAGTAGACAAAGCTGTAGTGTAACTTTTGATTTTGTGGGAAATGTGTTGTTACGATTTGTTTTAATATTAAATGAATGTGTGTGTTTTTAAAAAAGAAAGAAAAGAACAACCAAAATGATCAAGGGGTTGGAATGATTCTCTTGTAAAGAAAGGTTGCAACATTTGGGACATAGCAGTTTAGAGGAAAGGTGAGTTAAGAGATGACATGATAGAAGTTTCTAAAAGTATGCATGGCATGGGGAAGGTGGGTTGAGGAAACTTTTTCACCTTCTCTCATAACACTTGTGGGCATCCAATTCTGCTTGGCAATGGACTCTCATTGATCCACATTGGATTTGTGTGGTTGCAACCTTTATTGTGCCACCATTACAATCTGGTTTGGAAAACTTTGGACTGTATCCAACAGTGCCCTATGCATGAGTTGAACAAATTTTTACTCAGGCAATAGGACTTTCCCTTCCTCTCCTCCCCCTGCACCTCATACAACCCCCCAAATCTGACCTGGAGGGTCAGGGAACCACCCAGAGCAAATCTGGGAGGTGCATGATTGCCACAGGGGGAGGAGAGGATGGGGAAGTCCTGCTATACAAGCCAAATCCCACTTCTGTCTATTCTTATGTACTTGGAGAGGAGACTGAGGCATGTGCATGAGCTCTCCAGATTTTTGAATTGGAATATTATGAGCACTTGTACTATTATTTTTCTCTTTGGCTGCCCTTCTGACAGAACATACAGATCTGAGATTCTAGGGCCACTTGTAAAGAGGGCAGAGGGTTGCTCGTACATGGTTACTTGGCTTAGGAATGCTTTATGTATATCCATCAATGAAGTCGGCAATTATTTGGTTCTCTCTGTATTAATTATACTTGTGTTTGGAAAACTTTTGTAAGGGTGCCCTCTGCCAGTGGACAACGGTATAGATGAGCACTTTGAAGAGCTGATTTCACAGCCTGTGAGGAAGGAAGTTTGGAACTAGACAACAAAGGATATGCAACTGCTGTGAAACATCTGAACCAAACCAGTTCCAGGTCACAGGAAGGAATTTAAATATTCACATTATTTAAATGAAAGGGAGCAGAGGAAGAAGGCTCAAATTTATTTAAGAATCATCTGTGTCCCCCAAGCTAAAGGTAGTTGACTTAAAGGACTGAGGGCCAAATCCGATCTCCAAATATTTTATTATAATAGTAAGAGAAGCTATCCTGGCTGGATAACTCACACACGCTGCTCCAGAAGCAATTTCAGGGTTAGGGTATTGCAATATAAATGAGCAGAGCAGAAATAAGAGAAGCAGCGGGTGGGTACAAGTCCCTTGAGCATCGTTTTTGAAGACAATGACATCCTGTCCTCCCTCCAACTCGCGCAGGGGGGCACAAATGTGAGGATCAGGATTTCAACTCGGGCTCTCTTAATAGATCCAGCACCCCCTTACAAGACTGCATGCATTTTCGACCGGCGAAATGTTCGGATTGATAACACGAATACCGTCGCCCATTCCGACGTGCCAAAGAAACACCGGGTCCGACCCGCGGACTCCCCCCGCCCCCCGTGGCGCGCCTGCCGCTCGACTAACGCGCGCCGGGCCCCGCCCTGCCTGCCTGTGACCTCACCAGCTCGACTTCCTCATCCCCTGAGCAACACGTGCTGTAGTCCCAATCCCCGAACTCCTGCCGCGCTTGCGCAGCGGCTGGACTACGACTCCCGAGAGGCTCGGGCGAGGCGGGGCGTGGAGTGAGTGCTGCGCATGCGTCCATCCGGGGTAGCCGGCCCCTGTCTCTTGTCTCCTCCTGCTGCTGATGCAAGAGCTGAGCGCGGCGGCGAGGTGGGCAGAGAGGCGAGAGGCGCCTGGGAGACGGAGCGAGGAGTGACTGACTTGGCCGGCGGCGTTGCGGCCACCCAGAGCGGGGACGAGCCCTTCCGATCTTCTGCCTTGAGGGCCGGCGAGAGCCGCAGCCATGTCGGGAGACGAGGTGAGGGCCCGGGCGCGCCTAGGCCGCGGGTGACGCGGGGCTGTGGCCGCCGCCGCCATGTGAGGAGCCAGGCCTGAGGCCTTCCCTCGCCCTGGCCGGAGCCCGGCTGGGGGCTTTCCTGCCCGGCCTGCTTCGTGTCGCGCTGGTTCCTCCGGCTTGAACGGAGGTCGCTCCGTCCTCGCCCGAGTCGCTTTAGGGAGAGGCGCTTGTTGGTCCCTTCCAATGGGCAGCGAGGTGCTTCCTCTCACTTTCCACGGATCAGGACATAAAAGGGAGGCCCGCTGGATCCAGGCTACAGGCCCGTCCAGTCCAGCATCCCGTTTCCTTCAGGGGCTAATTCGATGCCTATTCGAGGACACGAGCTCGCTCCCTTCCCTTCCGCCCCTGAGAAATCAGAGAGCGCTCAGAATCTCTTCACACGTTACATCAAACGCGAATTGGCTCATGCGTGTACACTTAATAGAAAGGTGTAGGGTCACTTCATGTAGCCTTTAATTTTATTTTTTTTAAAAGAGAAAAGCCTCTGCCATAAAACGTAAAGAGTGAGTGCAGCCATCTTGGTTACAAGCATGTGTAAAGGTGCTGGAAGCGTTGGGTGTGGGCGCCAGTGAAGTGCACGTTTCACAGCAGGCCTATGCTCGCCATCACGTAATGTGTGGATTAGAATACCCTGTGCTTTATCCCGACTTCTGTGCTGATGGGGAAGACCCCTGCCTCTTTAATTGGTGTTAAACCGTTGTAACCACACTTGATGTGTTTAGGTGTACAGTACAGCCAACACATCTTGTGCTTTTGTTTAGAGAGTTAGCAGAGCTCTTCTCTCTTTACCCCCACTTCTGTAGGCTGGGCTTTCTCATCCTTTTGTACTATGGACAATTGTGCCTGTGTAATACTTGCATGCTGTGTTTGTGCTAGTTTATTGCTTGAGTCCCAAACAACGTTTTGTGGAAATTCAGGTTTAGAATTAATTGTGAAGCTCATCAAGTCAATGACTCTTGGACCTTGTGAAATAAATGGACTTGAAAAGAATTGGCATACTTAACAGCATTGATTTAAGCTTGTAATCTTGCTTGGAGTAAGGAAGAATTAAACTCCTCATTTTAAGTTCTGATCAAGGCAAGCTGGCTGTCTTGAATCAATTTAGGTATCTAGTCTTTTGTGCAGAATAAAATTATTGATGGTTTGTTTTTATTAAGATTTGTTGATTAGATGGTTGAGCTTTTCCACTCCTTTCTATGGTAGTAGTGGCATTGTGCAGCTTCTAACCCAGAGATGTGCTAGGGTTTACACCAGGGGTCAGCATACTTTTTCAGCAGGGGGCTGGTCCACTGTCCCTCAGACCTTGTGGGGGGCCAGACTATATTTTTTGGGAAAAAATGAACGGATTCCTATGCCTCACAAATAACCCAGAGATGCATTTTAAATAAAATCACACATTCTACTCATGTGAAAACACCAGGCAGGCCCCACAAATAACCCAGAGATGCATTTTAAATAAAAGGACACATTCTACTCATGTAAAAACTCGCTGATTCCTGGACCGTCCACAGGCCAGATTGAGAAGGCAATTGGGCCAGATCTGGCCCCCGGGCCTTAGTTTGCCTACCCATGGTTTACACCCGAAAACTGCAGGTGCAGTACAGAATAGAGCCTTCAGTGGATTTATCTCATAATTATTGTTTGTGAACACTTGTTAGCCCATTTTAAATGGGTATCCTTAACTATAATGTACTAAGGTGACATTACCTACATAATCTAGAAATTAAGAACTGTACCTGGCTATTTAGAAACTTTTCTCCACCCAGAAGAATTCTCACTTTAGCTTGGATGAGTCAAGACTATTTCAGCCCATCATTTTTCTGAATATTTTAAGGAATAATCACTACAGCTGTTTTTATAAGTTCCTGGGCTAAGTATGTGATGCATGTGCTGATGTCATTCATGGCATCACTGGGTTGCAAACTATAATATCTGCATAATATAGTTTTAAAATATTGCTCAGAAAAAGACCAAATTCACAGTAAGACCAATCAAAATGTCACAAGGGTTATATGCATGTTGGTTTATTATCAATGTATCTGGCAAAATGTTGAAATCATTTGGAGAGCTATGAAATACATGCAGTTCTTTCTGCATGAGACTTGCATGTCTTCCAATAATGTAAGAACCAATCTGTAGCATCATAGTGGATACTAAGGGAAAACACTCATCCTGCTCTCATCATTGCAGTGCATGCTGGGTGAAGCAGTCCAAAAATGCATTTAATAGGCGAACAAGTTTATTGTGGAGAGAGAACTAGTCAGAATGAGACTATTAGTTTAATTCTTAAGGCACAGAGAAGATTCTTGAGATATTGCTTTACTGCCAAAGATAATAAGAGAAACATATCAAATACTTGGATCTCTTTTGTCTTTATAGGTGCATTGTATATAGATTTGTTTTATGGGGAACTGAACTGTACATGCAGGAAACTCTAATTGGGGGTCTAAATTCCTAACTAGTTCTGTTTAACCAGCTGACATGATGGGACTACCTTGCTTTACTAATCTCATATGTCTGAAAAATGATTGAAACCACAACAAGGTTTATTCTTGTCTTACTGTTTATGATTTGTTTAAGTGCTGGCCTCTAGTTTGTTTCCTCCCTGCCTGGCAGGAGCAAACACACAACAAGTGGTAAGTCAGAAATAAACCAAGGTTTGTTATTGGTTTATTTATGCCTTACTGCTTATGGTTTGTTTCAAGCAAGTCGTGGTCCTGGTTCAGATGACAGAGAAGCCATGCTGTGGCTTGTGGGAGGCATTTTTATGTTTAAAACATGGTTTAAGACAAATTGCTGGTTATTGTGATGTGCAAACCAAACCAATATCTGTTAGAGAAATCTTGAAATGTCTTTTTTTAAAATAAAAATAAAAAACACCTGTTAAACTAAACCTCAAATTCTGCAAGATAGTAGAGCATCTTCACCCCCACCTTGGTTCAAATTATGAAACTCCTTGCAGCTCATGGTGGAAATCTTAACTTTAATAGAATGTTGGTTGCTTAAATATATGTGGTAAGCTAGCTTAAGCTGGAGAACTGTTTTAAAAATAGTTTTAAAGTTGCATAAGAAAATTTGTTTGTTGTAGATGATTTTTGATCCTACTATGAGCAAGAAGAAGAAGAAGAAAAAGAAGCCCTTTATGCTTGATGAAGAAGGAGGAGATGCTCAGACAGAAGAAATGCAGTTATCAGAAACAAAAGAAATGGAGCCAGAGCCAGTGGAAGACAAAGACACAGAAGCAGATGAAGAGGACAGTAGGAGAAAAGGTAAACTAAAATCTTCATACCTCGGGTTACAGCCGCTTCAGGTTGCGTTTTTCGGGTTACGCACCCCCCGAAACCAGGAAGTACCGGAACGGGTTACTTCCAGGTTTCGGCAGTCTCGCATGCGCAAAAGTGCTAAATTGCGCTATGTGCAGAAGCATCGAATCGCAACCCACGTGTGCGCAGACGCGCCGCTGCGGGTTGCGAATGCTGCAGGTTGTGAACGTGCATCCCGCATGGATCACGTTCGCAACCCGAGCGTCCACTGTATACGGTAACTAAATCCATCTTGTCTTGCAGTAGTTAAATTTACATGGGATAACCCCATGTTTGCTGCCATGACTTCCTTGAATTTAGGAAGCAAAGGTCCTAATTCTGTTATTCACATGCAGAATTAGGTACACCAAATCCACTGAAATCAATTCATAGGATTGCAGCCCTGGGGACCCCCCATCTGCTACATATGACAAACCCAATGTTGCACAAACAGATTTCCTGTTCCTCTCCTGCAGCCACCTGCAGCCCTCCAGTCTATTCTAACCCTCTTGTTTATGCCAGCCTTCTGCCTTCATCGGTAAGCATTTTAATTCTGTAGCACTTTTAAAGGATTGGGCTACAAGCTTATTTTGTGCATTTCATAAGAATCCTGGTTAGATTGGTATTTTCCTATAATTAACAGGTTATAAAGCAACCCAGCAGTTTCACTTCCTACCCCCATTGTTACAGATATTAAAGTAATGGCATGTAGCAATAAACCCTACCTTCTGTGGTATGTCATGCCAGCTAAAATGTAGGTTCTATTTTTTAAAAAAACTGGGAACCAGTTCTTGTTTATACTTTCAGTAGCACACTTTGATTTTTTTTAGTCAGATGCTATGTCAGTCATGAATGGTGATAGCATCTTCAAAAGTCACCATTGATCAACTTTCTACACATTGCTAAGGTATTGCACAATATTTTTTCAAACAGACTACTTCGTTCACACAATCACTTCATTTCATGGCAGCTAAGCTAAAGCTGATTTCCACTAATCTTGAAATGTTGCTGCTGGGTGCAGAAAGGTCTGGAGAATTTTTCCTGAATTATTGTTGCTGCATACTTGATATTGATGAATATATTTCAGTGTTGCATTTTTGTAATATAATTGCTCTGTAATGTTGCTTTTGACTTTCAGATGCATCAAATGACTTAGACGATTTAACATTCTTCAATCAAAAGAAGAAGAAGAAGAAAACAAAAAAGATATTTGACATAGACGAAGCTGAAGAGGGTGTAAAGGTCAGTCTTCCAAAATTACTCAGTTGTGCCCTTTTCCCTTACTGCTCTTGACTAAATATTTTATACAGCATCAGTCCAGTAGAAGTTTAGTTGGTTAAATCATGTAGCTCTAGATATATTTGGTGATATCTAATACTGCTCCATGAACAGAAGGAGAGTTGAGCTCACAGAAAAATACCTTTCCTTTTCTTGGTGCAAAAACATTGGGTACCGCCCATTGGACTGGTGTGGATATAATATTAAACCATAGTTTAGCATGACAGGAATGAACCTTCTTTGGCACAGGGGTGAAGAGTAGTAATGCAATGATATGGCAAGCTGTGGTTAAGCAAAAGCATCTTAACAGTATGCTGTGATTCCCATCAACTAGTATTCAGAGGCATACTGCCTCTGACAGTGGGGTGGAACATAGCCATTGTGGCTAGTGGATATTGAGATCCTTATCCTCCATTAATTTGTCTAATCTTTTGATGTCATCCCAGTTGGTTGCCATCACTGCCACCTTTTAACCTCTCTGCCTTGCTTCTCTTTGCTCTGGCTCCGCATTTAACTTGCAGATTTTCAACCAGCCAGCCTTCAACTGTGTTCAGTTTAAATGCTGCAAGTTAAATGTGCATGACATGTGATTCTGTTGTACTCTGCTGTTTTCTGCTGCTGTAATTGCCGTATGCTTCACTGTTTGTTGTGCAACATTAGCCTATCCTATGTTCCTTCCTAAATGATGTCTTGCACCAGCTGGGATCTGTAGACTATGTACACTCAAGAGTTACAAACCAGCAGCCACCAGCCACCCTGGTTATTCTGTTTGAAGGGTAGGCAATAAAGCACTTTGATATAAGTGTAACCTAATTTTTTTTAATACATCCACAGTGTGTGGTATCCATTCTAAGAATCACTTGTACCAAAACACTTAGATACTTGAGAAAAGGAACTCTAGAATCAAATTTTCAATAGATAACGGTAGCTCAGTTTTCATGAAGAGCATGTTGCATATTTTAGAACTCTGCCGTATTCTGGTTTGCATCCAGTGATGCCATGCTACTGATGGAAGACTTCTGCCAGTGGAATGGGAAGGGAAGCCATTTGGGGTGATATTTCCCTCCCCTTTAAATCTGCTTTAGAGAGGATACCTCAACCCTATGGAGTAGAATTGGGCTGAAGGGAAGAAAATCACAGAAAATGTTGGCCTTCCTCTTTGGCCTATGAAGCCTCTCAGTGGAGTGGCACTTTTGGATATAGCCTTTTAATTTTGCTGTTCCTTTGTATAAATGCCTGCTATTTTATGTCTCTTCCACATTATGTTAAAGGACCTGAAAATTGAGGGGGATGTTCAAGAGGTAGCAGTAGAACAAGCAGAAGATGACCTTGATATCATGCTTGGAAAGAAGAAGAAGAAGAAGACTGTGAAGTTTCCAGATGAGGATGACATATTGGATAAAGATGAAGGTGATTTTCTTTTCTTTTTTGTGTGTGTGTTTGCTATGAGTGAAAGAATAATGTTAAATGTTGGAACAAAGCATACTCACACCTGGTAGAGTGGAAGAAAAGCTGTCTTTCATAACATTTACTTCCACAGTAGCTCCAACTTCACCATACAGTTCAGCATTTATGGATGTAGCCACCTTTCCTTCTGTGTTGTTTTCTTTCTATGTCTTTCCCTCCCTCTCTTCCTCTCTTCCTGCTTTCTCAGAATTCCAATGGGGTCCCGTGAAGGGAGGGGGAACTCTTTTGAAACTCTCAATAGGATCTCACTTTCAGTTGTCAATCAAAACCAGGGATCAGCAACCCGCGGAGGTCGCTTGACCAGCCTATGAGCCTCCCCAGAACCGAGCCGTGCGCTGCGCTAAACCAGCGCAGCACGGCATGGGAACTCACTTCCACAGCGCCGGAAATTGTGTCTGCGCATGCGCAGATGCTCAAAATCGCAGGCGCACGTGCTCACACGCAATCCGGCCCACGCAGGGGTCTCCACAGGACCGATCTGGCCCAGGCAAGATAAACCTTGCTGACCCCTGATCAAAACAATGGGAGGTAATTTCTTCAAAGCTAGTATAGGCAGCAACTGATTTGCTGCAGGGGTTACTTTCCAGACCCCTGCATGTGTTGTTGGGACCCATGTAAGGCTGCCCCACACCACCCCTTTTTGTGCTGTTTTTGGGGCACTTCTGGGTTCAGAGCAATGTGCTGTTGCACGCATAGTAGACACGCCTAAAGCAGTCGTTGCCTGTATCTAAAATAACCATAAACTTAAGCCTTAATACAAATTTCTCCAGGAAACCCTGGGACTCTTTGTGTATACTGAGAACTGTTTTTGAGACGCCGAGGCTACTTTGAACTAAAATTCCCAGAGTTTCTTGAGAAAAGCTGACAATATTGCGTCTTCCTTCCTCTATCCTCTTTTGTTTGTGGATTTAGGTTGCATGCACATCTGCTCTCATGGCTTCTCTCTTCAAACCATGAGTTGTAACAAAGCAACAAGGTTTGTGTTCTTGGCTTTATGCACATGATTTGTTTAGGGCAGGCATGGCCAAACTCGGCCCTCCAGGTGTTTTGGGACTATAGTTCCCATCATCATTCCCATCATCATGACCACTGGTACTGTTAGCTAGAGATGATGGGAGTTGTAGTCCCAAAACATCTGGAGGGCTATGTTTGGCCATGCCTGGTTTAGGGGGAACAAACCATGATGCTAATTTGCACAAACTACTAAGCCAAACCATGGCTTAGTTCCTGGTAGTGCGGCAGCAGCAGGGCCAGAGGAAGGAGCAAAGCAGCCACAGATTTCTAAATAAACACCAGCATGCTTGTTCATTCATGATAAGCCATAGTTGTCCATAAATCATGTGAGTGCCATTTTTATTTGATTTAGCAAATCTGAATATTTTCATCCCCCCCCCCCCCGTAAAACTAATTGCTATTCACATATGGAAGACAGGAGTGCCTGGCGTGCTCTGCTCCATGGGGTCACGAAGAGTCGGACACGACTAAAGGACTAAACAACAATACAACATTCACATATACCAAACACTTCCATGGGAAGACAAGGGAGAGCTGTGTTTCCCTTCCAGAAGGATCCGGTGTCACTTTAGATGATCCCTTAACTTTCAAGACTAGTTTCTGCCTGTTGTTAGTTGGTTGAAAGTTTTCTTTTGTATCCCATGTTTGTAAAAGTAAGTGACACTTTGTCCAAGACCAACTGGAAGACTGTTCCTTCGATCTCAAGTATATTTCTTACTCTACAGCATTGGAGGATGAAGACAGCAAAAAAGATGATGGAATCTCCTTTAGCTCTCAGTCAGGACCTGCATGGGCAGGCTCAGAGAGGGACTACACATATGATGAGGTAAATAGTTTATATGCCTCTTACTAATCTGTTTCTGTTGATAGCTTGTTTGGGGGGCATGTGAACAAATATAGCCTAAAATTGCTTTCGATTTATATAAGGCTTGGTGCATTTTGTTAAACTTGGGCTGTTGTTGCATGAACAAAGGAGAATGAATTATTTCTGTAGGGCTTTAATCAGGAGGTCATGAAGTACATTCACATACACTTCAGTGAGAGTTCTTAACGCTGTCTTTCTGGCCAGGAAGATTATGTTCATCGAAGTCACATGCTTCCTGTGGCACAAGCAGTTGCCCTGTGACAGAAAGATATGTTTTGGAAACAGAAGAGTGGGCTCTACTCCTGTACACTTAATTCAAAAAGGTCAAGAATAAGGTTATTTCTCATGTTTAAAGCAACATGCATGCCTGTCAGCACAGCTCTGAATGAAATATAGGGGCTGAGGCATAGAGGACTGAATATGGTGTTAAACTAAAGTAACAATTGATGTGAATAGGGCCTGTTCAGCCCTTCCCTAAGGCGAAGAGCATTCCTTGTTCAGCCCTAACTCCTGCCCAGAAACACGTGCACTTGCTATCAGTAAATAGAAATAAAATAACTTACTGCAATCTGTGGTTCTGAAAATGCAGAGTGGGACTTGCTGAGGAAGCAGTAGCAGTGATGCAAGATGTTTGAAATGCATCTCCTAATTCTTGATGTCTTCAGATTTGCCCAGCAGGGAGAGCTTACACCAACCTCTTGGAGTATAGTTGGGAACTACTGCTTTTTGTGGCCTTTAGTTATGATTTCTAGCCCTACTTCTTCCCTTGCTACACTTTACAAAGCAAAAGGAAGCAATATGACATAAATTGTTGTTGTTTCATTGGAGACATTATTACTTTTTTCTCTGAGGAGCTAAAACAAAGAGTCTGGTCACTGCTATTAAAAGCTTGGTTCCATGTGTTTAACATGCAGAGGACATAACAGCCACTGGTTCTGCCACTGACCCCTCTGTACCAGTGTTAGAAACCGAGATATGAAAGCAAGGAGCTAAATGGAACCTTAAACCTAGGTTATGGGCCCAACAATGGAATGTATAGGTCAGGGGTCAGCAAACTTATTCAGCAGGGGGCCAGTCCACTGTCCCTCAGACCATGTGGAGGGCCGGACTATATTTTGGAAAAAAAAAAATAATGAACCAATTCCTATGCTCTACAAATAACCCAGAGATGCATTTTAAATAAAAGCACACATTTTACTCATGTAAAAACATGCTGATTCCCAGACCATCACAGGCTAGATTTAGAAGGCGTTTGGGCTGGATCCGGCCCCCAGGCCTTAGTTTGCCTACTCATGGTCTAGGTGCACTTTTTTAAGTACAAGAATACAAAGCTGAAAATGAATGAACGGCAGCTAAAATACTGTGTTCATTTTTCACATGGTCTAGTCCTTCCCTTGCCCACCCCCCTAAAATTCTTAAGAGGGCCTCTTCTCTAGGCTTCAGAGAGTAGCTGGAAGTGGGGAGGCAGAAAAAGGTCCTCCTTTTCTTCCACTCTGCTGTTTTAATCTGAAATCCTAGGCGCAGTACTGCATCCAGAGCTCAGAAACTGCTCGCACTAATGAAATTCCCTGTCACAAAATATGCCTAAAAATGGGAGTTTTGGACTTCTCTGTACACTTAATGGCGTGTGAGAATAGGCTCTCTGTGTTTACAGCTGTAGACATGATTGAAAGCCCCAGTGCAACTCTGCTGTCCTCTGTGTGGTTTGGTGGGATGCACCAGAGCATGAGAGAAGGGCTGTTCTAAAACACGTCACAGAAGATCAAAATCCCCCATCCTCACCACCCCCAAAGCCAAACTTAATATGTTGACATGATCACTGGAAAACCCTTGCTTTTTTGATAACAGTAAAGTGAGAGATGGTTCATGACTGAAGTTATAAATATTCCCTCCCCCCCCCATGTGTTTACAGTTGCTGAATCGTGTTTTCAACATTATGCGAGAAAAAAATCCAGATATGGTAGCTGGTGAAAAACGAAAATTTGTCATGAAGCCTCCACAAGTTGTAAGAGTAGGAACCAAGAAAACATCATTTGTCAACTTCACAGATATCTGTAAACTGTAAGTCTGTCTGTATTGCAACTTGGAGCAGGGTGCAGCATTGGGTGGAGGGGAACCATGATCCTTACGTTGTATGCTGTATAGTTATTTAATTGCATGGACTGGAGGGAACTCAGTTGCAAGCAATTGAGTAGCCCTACTGAAGAATTAATGGCTCGAGTATAGAACCATCTTCACTTCAAAGATGTTAGCTTTGTCAGACATCGAAGACAGTTGAAGAACTGAACTTAATGCATCACCACTAAAGGTTATTACACGGAAGGAGTCTTCACTTGGGTGTGTGGTGAGAGTTTGGGATAGCTCCGCAGAAGCACAATGGTGTTTAACAAAACAAAAGGCCAGCTAATTTCTTGTGAATTAAACCAGCCCTTTCATACTCTTAGGGATACTGGATGTCTCTGCCAGCCTCCCACTCAAAACCATCTTTGTGTGTTTGTGTTAAATTCTAATTCAGTGAGTCTTCACTGAAAGCATTCTCTTTCAGAAACCAACCAATAGTGTCTGTGTTGCACTGGAATACTAATGTCAGATCAGTTTTCTGTGTTATTTAAGTCTCTTACTGCTGAAATAGAAGCAATCTGGTGTTTACTTTGAAGATTTATATCTTGCTAATCTCTCCTTCCCTATTTTTTTCTTGACTGATGCTTTGCTCTCTTCAAAGAGGTCCCCGTCAGGCAGATTTTGCTGAAAATTTTATATCCTGACCTTTGTGTGTGCGCGCCCGGTATTACTTTCATATTACATCCCTACATTGAGGAACATCAACATTGACCCTGTGGACACACATGTACCTGTCAAGGCCTTTCCTGGTGCCCACAAGGTCCCTTCCACTGTCAGTAGAACACTTCATGATGTGTACTTGGTTGCAGTGTGAGTGCCCACGGTAATTTCTCCTGTTTGCAGATGTGCCCTTAGAGACCCTAGGTAATACTATGTTCTAGGTCAGATGATGATGTGTGGAAGAAATTACTGAGCACTTAATCACTGCATTGAGATGGGCTATTTGCTTAGTACTAAGTGCCCTAAATATATAGTTTGTGATCATAAAATAATAATAATAATAATAATAATAATAATATATTATTTCTACCCCCGCTCATCTGGCTGGGTTTCCCCAGCCACTCTGGGTGGCTTCCAACAGAAGGTTAAAAATACATTAAAACATCAGTCATTAAAAACTTCCCTAAACAAGATTGCCTTCAGTAAACTTCTTTCTTTATAGATTACATCGTCAACCAAAGCACCTCTTGGCTTTCTTGCTTGCAGAATTGGGTACAAGGTAAGCACCTTCCACTTCTGCAGTGTGTACTCCAGTGTTTCCTGAATGCAGGTGTTAGCTGTCTTCTCTGGGTAAACTATTTTTAAATTTGTTCTCTCTCTTCTGGAAGTTAAGTAAACTTGCTATTAAAGGTGTTGCTTTTGCGTATTTAGATTTGAAATTCATGTATCTTAAAGTGGGAGGAAAGGTAGGAGTTGTTTGCAAGAAGACCATATTTTCCCTTGGGGCAGCTGCTAGTACCATTCATGAGCTTGAAGGTTTCTTGCAGCAGATATTTCTTAAAGGTGCAGATGCATACTACTGCTTCTAAATGCTAGTAATTAAGCTTATGGGGGGGGCGGGGAGAAACAAGTACTTTGCAAGGCAACCAGTTCTGCATCCTTTCCCAAGGTTCAGGTTCTTATACTTAAAAGGTAATTTGGGAGTAAAAAGGGGGGGGGGATGTTTGACTCGCAGCATCCACTCAGAGACATGTATGCACACAGGGGGAGGGGCACAGATTTCTTCCTCCCCCTCAGCTGTAGTCCTTCACACTAGCCCTGGTTCCTAATTTTCAGAAGGAGAGCAAGCAAGCCTATTTGGCGAGAGGAAGTAACCTCAGGCTATTTGGAATCCAGGCTTGATCAAGGTTTTTTTTCATTTTCTTTGCGGTGTCTCTTTCTTAAGCATAGGGCAAGTCTTAAGTGGGCGGCTTATGATTAGCTTGTTGGCCGATGTACCACTTTAACTCTTCTTGCTTGCAGATTGGGATTAGATGTGGTGAACAGAACTTTGAAGGGTATCCCTGGCAATTATGTATTACTTGAGCTTTCTTATTTTTTTATTATTTAGTGAATTTATATACCGCCCCATGCCTGGAGGTCTCAGGGCGGTTCACAGAATAAAATCAAAATATAAAACCACAACGTACATAATCAAAATAAAAACAATCCAGTAACTCCCTCGCCCTCCCAATCCACATTTTAAAAGGGCATAGGCACTCCGGACCACTGAGGCCACCTGAGCCTTGAGCGACAGCAAAGGATCCAGGAGTGCCCCCAAGCTACAAACCTGTCCTTCAGAGGAAGTGTAACCCCATCAAGAATAGGCAGTTTCCCACCCATCTGGTCTAGGGAACCACCCATTAACAATGCCTCAGTCTTATCTGGATTGAGTTTCAGTTCGTTGGCTCTCATCCAGTCCATTACCAAGGCAAGATACTGGTCCAGCACTTCCACTGCTGAACCTGCAGGTGTAAAGGAGAAATAGAGCTGAATGTCATCAGCATACTGCTGACAATGTACTCCAAACCTCCAGATAACCCCACCCAGCTGTTTCTTGACCAAAGGAGCTGAAAAAACATATAAGAGAGCAGGCAAGATGGGAGTCCTTGCTCTAGTTTGAATTTGTCTTCATGTACTTTTTCAAAAAACGCTTAAAAGTGCAACCAGTGGGAATGTAAATCAATGGTACATGAAGCTTCAGATGATATTTCAGTTCTGATTTGGCATGGATGGTGGTTTGAGGGGTCTGTTTTTAAGCAGGTTGACCTTTGCTGCAGCTTGAGAGGTATAGAGCATTTAATCTAAACCTGCTTCAGGTTGAGCGTTTTCAGGTTGCGTCCCGCAGCAACCCGGAAGTACTGGAAAGGGTTACTTATGGGTTTCACCGCTCGCGCATGCGCAGACGTGCAAAATGATGACACGCATGTGCAGAAGCGGGGAATCACTGCACGTGCAGATGTGGGTTGCATTCCTTTCAGGTTGCAAAAGGGCCTCCAGAACGGATGCCATTCGCAACCAGAGGTACCACTGTATTGCACTAAATAAGACCTGGTGTTTTTTTTAAAAGTAAGATCTCTTCTCTTTTTCCAGCTACACTAAACTCTTAGAGTTTTATGCGCAACTCACACTTCTCTCCCTGGTGACTTCTCAGTGTTAACTTGAAAATGACCTGTTCTCTCTACTCTTTTTTGTTCTGTGTTTCTTTGTCTATCATCTTCTGCTTATTTCTCTTGGAGAAAGAGAAAAAAAAGGAGTAAATGGCAATAGAAGAAAAGATGCACATAAAACTGCTCACCTTCCATTCTTTCATCCTAGTCTTCTCTCTCAGCTAGCTTCAACTTCTACTTTGTTAGTCTGTGCTTTTCTTCTCTCTCTCTCTCTCTCTCTCTCTCTCTCTCTCTCTCTCTCTCGCCATACCAGCTAAGTAAAAACAATTTGCAGCAGGAAGGAAAGGAGAGGAGAAAAAGGAAAGTGTTAACTCTTCCCCTTAAACCACATACTTCCACCATCCACCATCCCAACCCTCTGCTGTTTCTTTCTCAACAATCTCATGATGTTCTGTAGCTACTCAGCAGGCACAGTAAAGCTGTGGTGGGATTCCCCCACCTCCATCTTATGTTGGCATTATTTTTATTAAGAGAATTTACAAATTTTGTATACCTTCCCTGAGCACATTGATATGTCCCTTTTGATGCTGCATAGCCTGGTTTTGGCTGCTGTCAGCACTCTGGGAATGAGTTCAGCTTTAGCAGAAGTGATGAAGTTTGTTGCCTCCATACAAATGGAGGTATCCCCAGCAATTTTAGTTTGTATACGCTTTAATTAGTATTAGAGAAGCTTGCAGCCAAAGAAACATGTTCTGTTTGATAGTGTTATTTAGTTCTAAACTATAAAATTCTTCTTTCAAATCAGTGGCTCTATAGATGGTAACAACCAGCTTGTAATCAAAGGAAGATTCCAACAAAAACAGATAGAAAACGTCTTGAGAAGATATATCAGTAAGTATATTCTGCTTCATTTAAAGTTGATTTCTGTGTTGTGTTAGCACTTAACATGAAAGAGGTAAGTTGATAACTTCATGAGAAAGTTTCAAATATTGTCTAAAATGTGCACATTTTTAACTAAAATATTTACGCCACCTTTATGTGGATAATCATCATGAAAAATAATAAATCATACAACTTTCAAAAGAGGACAAACCATAGCAGATCCATCATCATAAGTAGCAATACAACCAACTTGCAATTGTCATTTCTTCTGAAACCATCGTATTTTCACTGGTTGGCATATGACAAGTAGTGTTTGGACGAGGTGGACACTGAGAAGGGCGTTATTTGAATGCAACATGAGGCTCAGATCAAAATCTCTTTACATTGCATCAATCTGAATGCTTGAGTAGCATGGGAAAAGGGGTCCTGTCTGGAATATCTTGGCTCTAGATGGTTTCTGAAGCAATTCAGCTGAAATGTAGAATGAATAACCCTTCTTGTGAACTTAAGGAGTTTTGAATATCACACATACAAAACGTGTGTATTCAACTGCAGACTTTTTGCTAGCTTACAATAGAACTAGCTCAGTAACAGAAATAGAAGTTTTGGATGTGGAAGATCCTGCTCAGTCTCCGGCATCAGTCTGCTCAGTCTCCGGCATCCACAGTTAACTGGACTGGGGGAGCAGGTGATGGGCAAAACCTCTGCCTGAGATTCTGGAAAGCCACTGATAGTCCAATAGGTAGTACTGGGCTACTTTGCTAGCCAGTATAAGGCTAGCAACATATTAAACGTTTTCAAGGTGATCATTTCGAGTTTCGGCAGCAGGAGCAATTTCTGAATTGTCAGAGAAAAAAGTGTTTCTCTTTTCTTTGGCAGTTCAGAGTTCCATTGATAAAAACTTGACTAACCTATCTGCACAGAGCCCTGTGAGCTGCTTTCCAGACCTACCACTCAAACCATCCTGTGGCACATAGGTTAAATGTGAGTGGGCAAGCAGATAGAACTTTTCGTGGAGTGTTGATTCTTTAGTACTTTCATCCTAAGGCAGAACTGCATACCAGGAACATGTATTAATGAGCTAGCGTGCAGTACTGCTCATTTGAGAAGAGGTAATTAACTCTTAAAACAAGTTTATGGGGCAAATAGAGAGCTGCTATTAACTTTAGTCTTCGCAAAATAATTTGTTTATTTCTTTGTAGTAGTACCATTGGTGCTTGAAGACAATTGGTGTTGTGACCTAGGCAGTTTGAAAATTATGTTGCCGTGACACAATTAAATTAACTAATCATCCTATACAGTTCAGCATGTGAAATTTTGGTTAATCTCTCGTTGCTAATTCAGCATGTTTAATTGTTCCCCCAGAGGAATATGTCACCTGTCACACATGTCGGTCGCCAGACACAATCTTGCAGAAGGACACCAGATTATATTTTTTGCAGTGCGAGACCTGCCACTCGCGCTGCTCTGTCGCCAGCATCAAAACTGGTTTCCAGGCTGTCACGGGCAAGAGAGCGCAGCTCCGTGCCAAAGCTAACTAGTTGGTTGGTCGACACTGGATTTTTGCAAAGTGATCTGGGCACAAAAGGCTGGACAGGCTTACGACCTGAGTGGATTTCCAATGTATTAAAACAAGATTGTAAAAGCTGCTTGGCTTTGGGTTGGTCTGTGAATTTCTTGCAAGATGCAGATCCTCAAGCTGTTGACATTTGCTAACTGAATATTTTACCAACTGTCAAGTGTGATGAGAGGAGGTGCTTTTTAATCTGTTCATAGAATTCTGTAAAATGCAAGACAAATTAAAGTTATTATAACAGTGACTCATTTCAAGCTTTCTTTCTGTTTCTCTGTTAAAATGACTGCTATGGCGACAATAATACTGTGAATACATGCGAGTGTTGTGGCTGATTCCAAATAATCAAATGTGTTCTAAAAAAAAAATGTTTCTTGGAACAAGTATTATAGTAGCAAGTGAGAAAAGGTAATGAATGAAATTCATAAAAATATTCTGTCATTAAAAATAGATTCTTTCAGATGAATGACTCCATGGATATAAAAAAATTCTAGTTACATGGAGCAAGCCCACAGGTATTTATGATTAAATCTGGATTGATTAGGGTTGGGTTTCCTGTCCATGCTTGGGCTCAGTTTCATCTGTATGCTAATATAGATGAGTTCAGGGCACCTTACTAATGCATAAGGTTTGGGAAACATGTCAGGGTACATGCACATTATCACTGCCAAGTGCTAGCTTCTAAATGTGTGCTAGAGCAATATCTTCAAAATAAATGGTAAGGCTGTACCAAGTGTTCTGCACACAATTTCAACGAAAGCGTCCACTTAATAATGGAAGCCAAGAAGATAATACACCTATTAAACCTTAATTGATCCTGTTTCTTTCCTTTCCCCTTTGTTGATGGATCTTAACCATAACTTTTGCTACCAGCTGCCAAATCAGTGAATTCCAGGATGACGACCAGCAACAGAACTTGCTGACTAGTAACTTGATTTTTCTTTAGTTTTATTATATACAGCAGAATAAAGCACAGCTTTGTACAAGCTACTATATACACAGAGACGAGATTCAAATTCCTATTCCAAACTCAACACTCCAACAACAAACTGCTGTGTCATACTACTTATAAGGGAGAACTTAGCCAATCACCACCTGTTGCTAGGCTTCCTGCAAGTTACTTGGTGTAATTTCCTCCCATTCCTAATAGTGTGTTAAAAGAATTGAGTACTGTTACAAAAACCAAACTGCCCATTAGCTTTGTGTGTTTATACCACAGTCTGTATTTGTTTTATCAGTTTGAATGTGCTAAAAAAACCTCCATGATTCTTTGAGAGTATTAATAAGTGTGTGGATAAGAATGATCCGGTAGACTGTGTACCAGTCCAAGACCTTCACAAAGATGCCTGACAGCACAAACTTACACATGCTTATTCCAAACCAACTCTAGTTGAATTCAGTGGGACTTATTCCCAGGTAAGTGTAAACTTGTAGTCATGCAGTAAGGGGTGCATTGTCTTACGGATCAGTAACTGGTAGAATAGGAAGCAGGGAGTGAGAATATATAGTTCCTCAAGAATATGTATCGGTACTGGTGCTTTTTAAACTTTTCTCAAAAAGAACCTGGAGTTAGGGGTGAGCAGTGAGGTTACAAGTTTGCTCATGATTCTAAATTATTGAGCAGGGTCAAAACAGAAGAGCATCAAAAAGGGTATCTCCAAACTATTTGTTAAAATGGCAAATGTGGTTCAGTCTATAACTAAAGTGGTGTGCATTGGGGCAAAATAATTCAGTCTTCATATGCCTGTGATGTGGTCTGAGTTTTTAGGGAGCAGATATTGGATTGGGATTATGGGATCATTGTGGATGGTTCAGTGAAAACTGGCAACTGAAAAGTTCATTAGAAGAGGGGACTGAAAATAAACTACCGATATTACAATGCCTTTATACAGATCTGTGATGTGACCATGCTTGGAAATGCTGTGCAAGTTGTGGTCACTGTGTCTCAAAGGAAGTTGTAGTGCTTGGAAATGTGAAGAACGGCAACCCAAATTGAGCTTGCCAAGTGAAGGGTACAGTCTTCAGGGCGTTAAAAAAGGTAAGAGATATGATAGAATAATATGGATAGAAAAGTTTTCTCTCACATAATACTAAGCTGGAGCGTATCGATAAAGCTTGAAGATTGTTCTGAATCCCCAAACAAAAGTAATGCCCGGGACATGAACAAGGGATGGAATTGTAGAGTTGGAAGGGATCCACCCACATGGTCATCTCGTCCCACCCCCTGCAATGTGTCTCCCAAGTGCTGGACCACAGCTTCCCTCATCCCTGAATGGCTGGCTCTGAAGGGAGTTGGGGCCCAACATCACCTGAAGGTTCATAGGCTCCTCACCCCTTGAATAAATGTCGGAAATCTGTAAATCGTGCTGGTGACTAAAAGGTGGTTAAGTAACTTAGTAGTAGTTAAGGCTTTTGCAATGGCTACTGGTCATGATGGCTGCGTGACACCATGCATTTGAACAGCAGTTGCTTGGGAACAGCAACAGGTGAAGGCTATTGGCCTCTTGACCAGCCAGTGGACTTCCCAAGAGGCATCTGTTTAGCAGTGTGAGAAGCAGGACAGTAGATTAGACAGGCTGTTCTGAACTAGCAGGACTGCTCTTACATGGATTCTAAAGTTTTAGTATTTTACAAATAACGGTTCAAGCAATTTAAATGTTCAGGGACATTGGGGAAAGAGTCGCTCTTCATTACACTACAGGGCCTTGCTGTGCAACTGACAATTTTAATCCACAGTAAAGGGAAGAGGATAATGTGCTTTGCGGGCATTTGTGTTGAGTCCTATACTTTGAAGGAGTAGCATGTATCCATAGTATTAGCCATAGCAGCTGGGGCCGACTGTTTTTGCAGACCCCTCCAATGTTTTAACGTTTGAACACATTCTGTTTTTGAATTTTAATTTGTATGTGTACCATCGCACAGCTCAGTTTTGCTACCGAATCATTTTTATTTTCTCTCCAAAGACTTGAGAACAGTAAAGTCTAAAGTCATGTTTTGTTTTGTAAAAAAGAAAAGAAAATGTTTTAAAATAGCATCAGAACTGTAATGAATGATAGATTAAGGTTACCAGATTTTTTCCAGTGAATCCGGGGACACTTTTCAACATCAATGGATTTTGTATGGGGGCTGGTTTGTAAATCCGGGGACGTCTGGTAACCTTATGATAGATGTATCTTCAAAAGTTAATAAAGCCAAGATCAGTGCCTCTTGTGTAACATTACTGTGGCATTGTGGTTGTCTTCACAGGACACTTTTATGAACCCCATCTACATTTACCGCTCCCCTGCTATAGCCTTGCTTCTTCAGTTTAACAACTAGTCATTGTGTGCATAGGGACAAGGAAACATGCCTTCTGGTGGCATATAGAGCACAAATAGATTTTTGATGTTTGGGGTAGAAGTCCAAAGGCGCAGGATGCAGCAACTTTGCTGAAGCCACACAGATCTGGATCGGATCAGTGCCTGAGCAAGAGTTTGCTTAGGGACCTTGGGTATAAACACCACCTTGAGTCACTTCTAGCTTGGATTAATCTCGGCTGGGATCTTGAAAATTCTGTGCTGGTATTAGTACTGTGTGTGCATGGATCCTGCCACCACTGGCAGCACCTTGTAACTTTATGAAGAGTGGTGGGCAGAAGGTACATTGGGACTTCCTAGTGGTTTGCAGTAGATCAGCAAGGATTCTGTCTCAATTATGTAGCAATAGTAAACCCCCCCCCCCACTAATCAAGCTGTACAGATGAAGAAGGGGGAGGGGAGGCAGGGGGAAGAAGAGAGCTGGGTGTGGAGTTTTGTGTGAGGACTGCTTAGTTCTGGTACTGACACAAATCCCTGGACTGAGTATATGCTCAGAGGCCCCCTGTTCCTTAAGTCTGAGAGTATGTTCACTTTCTGTCACTATTTTGTACTTGACTCTGGTTTGCTGCTAATAAGGCAGGGTAGATCCTGCCAGCCTGAACTATTCCTACCCCTTGCATTATGGAGTGCAGCATCTGCCACTGCCACCAACCCCCAGCATTTGCTGCCTGACGGAGCTGCCTCACTTTGCATAATGGTAGTGCTGGTCCTGACCCCCAAAACATTTTGGTAATTTTTAGCAAGTTCTGAAAGGCTGAGATTGTTGAGTGAGTACTGCGGAGAGCCAATCTGATTGTATTTGTAAATTGCAACTTGCTGTTTGCAGACCGTTTATGTGTACTGCTCAGAACACTCCAAAATTCTGCTTTCCACTTCAATATTCGAATGTTTGAACCCAGGCTAATAGCTTAGTTCCCCTGGACAAACCCGTAGTTAGTCTGGAAAGAGCTAAACCATGAGCATGAGTTTGAACACACTGAGCCAAACAAGCCATGGATTATCTTAGCATGTCACAGCAGCAAAGCTACCAGAGAGGAGCAGCATAGCAGTTGCAATCTTCTCTCTGAGATCCTGCAAACTTGCACTAACTCATGGTTTGGCTTACTGCACTATATGTATGAAGCCTAAGAATGTGTTAATGGAGATTTTATGTGAATAAGCTCTGGAACAGGATTATAGCCCCCTAAGTGAATTCTTGTGCGGTTCAGAACTAGCTCCTATGTGGCAGACTGTTTGAGGCAGACTTTAGACTTTACATGTGTGGATTGATTCCCCCCTGTGTGGCATGAGCACAGCAAGGGTGTGTGCAGATGGCAGGCTCCTGCGCTACAGATACTTGCTTATGCTTGATGCTGCAGCCTCAGGTTACATACGCTTCAGGTTACATACTCTTCAGGTTACAGACTCTGTTAACCCAGAAATAGTGCTTCAGGTTAAGAACTTTGCTTCAGGATGAGAACAGAAATCGTGCTCTGGCGGCACAGCAGCAGCAGGAGGCCCCATTAGCTAAAGTGGTGCTTCAGGTTGAGAACAGTTTCAGGTTAAGAACGGACCTCCGGCACGAATTAAGTACTTAACCCAAGGTACCACTGTATAGCTCTTTTAACAGGCACATAGATCCATCCTTTTCACCAGGACAATCTTTTAGCACTTTCAATTTGCAGCAAGGGCAACGAACGCAAGCAAAACAATTTATACTAGAACTGTGCTAGTAGTGCATTCAGTTTGCTTAAGAACCCACCGTTAATATTGCCATTTATTCATGAAAGGAGCTTGGGGAAAATATTTAGGGGAAACCCTCTCCCCTGCAAAATCTCCCACCTAATGAGGACTGAGCATGCTTAGTGGCTAGGGAATGCCAATTGATAGTTAGATGGGATCGAGTATCCTGGAAGAGGGCCTGATTGGGTGGAATGCTGAGCAGGATAACCACACTCCAACGTTTGGTTGCGGATCCTACTTGTGGTTCTGAATGGCTAGCATTTGGGTACACAGGCAACTCTCAACTTTGGCAGGGGATGCATTCCAGGGATAGTGTGTAAAACTAGAATTGTGTATAGTCAAAACACATTAGGTTCAATGGCAAATTGGAGTGCCAAACTCACTTTTCCCAGACTCCTGCCCCCTTTCCCCCCACTTCTTTTGCCAAGCACTTAAAGCTGAATGCACACAAATTAAATGCATGTAAGTGGCAAATTACCTGTATATGAAAAAAGAGCAGTGGGAAGAACAAAAGAATCAGTGGAAAACTGTGAATTAAGCAATAGGAACCAAAACAAATACTCAATGTGATGTAGACATACTTTGAAATCAATTTCTATTTCTAGTTGGAAGACTAAGACTGTCACAGGTAGCAGTAAAACAGAGCCTATTTAAGGAAGTTAAGAAAAGTAGCAGCAAGACTACATGATGAATCAAGTTCTTCCTTTTATTATACAGGATTTTATATACAAAGCCCCCCCTTCCTTCCATACCCCAGTCTTGTGGTTGGATCATAGCAAAACAAAGCCTAGAAAGCAGTTCTAAAATAGCTCAGTACAACAAAGTGGCCAAACTTTGCAGGAGGCGCAGAAGAGAAAAGGCAATAGAAAAAGAAAGCGGAGAAAAACAAAACAAGTGCCCCTTTTTGCTCTCCAGGATGTATTTTCAACAAAGAAGCTGATGTATGTTGTTGTGCTTTGAGAGCCGTGACCCTCTGTTAACAAGCCCTAAGGAAGAGATGCAGTCTGTTGGGATGTTTTCCAGCGGAAATCTTTTTTTAAAAAGGTTGAGAACCCAAGGTCTTATGGAAGTGGCTTATACAACAATGCTGTTCTCTCCCTTTCTGAGCAGGTTGGTTGAAGTCTCTAGGACAGAGTCATGCTGTTAAGCCAACACTACACCATCTCTTGCCGAAGTTGGCGATGAGGAGTAGACTGTTTAAGAGAGGATTAGATCACAGAAGGGAACATTGCAAAATAATAATAATGATGATAATATGCAGTTTGCCGGATATTTCAACTTAATCAGCTGCACAACATACATTGCATACCTTTTGTCATTACGGGTGTGAGTGGGCTGAAAGCATCTGCATTTCAGAGAAGGGATGAAAGGAAGCAGGGTAAAGGTAAAGGGACCCCTGACTGTTAGGTCCAGTTGCGGATGACTCTGGGGTTGCAGTGCTCATCCCCCTTTACTGGCCGAGGGAGCTGGTGTTTGTCCGGGTCATGTGGCCAGCATGACTAAGCCGCTTCTGGCGAACCAGAGCAGTGCACGGAAACGACGTTTATCTTCCCGCCAGAGAAGGTATTTCTCTACCTATTTATCTACTTGCACTTTGATGTGCTTTCAAACTGCTAGGTTGGCAGGAGCTGGGACTGAGCAACGGGTGCTCACCTCGTCGTGGGGATTCGAACTGCCAACCTTCTGATCGGCAAGCCCTAGGCTCAGTGGTTTAGACAAGCAGATTAGAATCATAGAATTGGAAGGGACCATGAGGGTCATATAGCCCAATCCCCTGCAGTGCAGGAATCCTTTGCCCAACATGGGGCTCATGCTCTATTGACTGAGCTACCCCAGGAAACCTTCAGGCCTCTTTCCTTAAACAAAAATGAAATTGTTTTTCCTCTGAAAATGCAATTGGTTTCAGGTGTTATATGAGTCTTGTTTTTTTGGAAGGATTGCCATCTGGCCATCTCATCTTTTACCTTCCCTTTTGGACCTGATTGGGTTGACCTTATTTTTATAAAGAGCAAATAAATGACTTATGGAACTTTGATGAAGCGCATGGGTTGTAAAGCAAAGACTCCAATAATCCCTTATTCTGAAATGCTTATCTCTTATTGTATCCTCTATGGTAACTTCACTCCGTACTCACACCTGTGTACACTAGAGACCTACCACCTGCCTTCACCATTGCTGACGCTTAGGAAACTGGATGAACAAAAGGCGGTTTGTTGCTCCTGTACAGAATGGTCTGTAAATAGCCAGGTTCTCTGTTCTTCTTTCCAAAGGGCACACCACGTATGACAAAGGGCATGTCTGAAATGCCATAGTCTGCAGGGTGGAGTGGGACCAAAGCTACCTAGGAGGAGGTAAATGGACTAGGAGGAGGCACCCCTGGCTATCCCGGTCATGACCTGGATTTCAAATGCAAAACTGTAAATTGTACATAGTGAAATAGTTTTCTTTCTCTTCACTTTCTGCATCCTGTCCTCATCGTGTCTCAGGAGCAAGGCTCTTTATATAGTATCTCTCTCGCTTTCCTTTCCAGGTGTAAGAAATCAGTTCCAGTATCGGCTGTTGAGATCATGGAACGACGGGTGCTTGTGCTGGCAGCAGGGCTCTAAGTCTGTAGTACAAGGGTGGGTTTGATGGGCACTGATGAGGATCCACTGGGATGGCTAGTTTGCTGTGTACTACAAAACGGCTTGGAGAGATTGGTCCATGTTTCTCCTTTTGAATGCCAGGCAGAGAGATGATGGCAGTCCTGCATGTTATGCTTATCTGGCTCAACATGCCAAGGCAGGATTGAACCTCTTGTTGTCCTCCCTCTCTTCATCGCTGTTGCGCTGATTATGCTAGGGGGCGGGGAGGAACAGGGAAAAGAGTAAACAGATAGACTGAATAACTTCTCTGTGATTCATGCTCAATTGCTGGAAGCATTTATTGGTGGAAAGGGTCATATCTCAGCAGGAGGGCACATGTTCTGCATGCAGAAGGTCCCATGTTAAATCCATGCCATTTCCAGGTAGGTCTGAGAAAGATTATTGTCTGAACCCCTGGAAAGTCACTATCAGAAATAAGGTGGGGGCTGTTTAAAGGGTGGAATTCATCCATCAGGGTGAATGGGGCAGTGCTCCACCAACCTCAGTCTGC